CTGGGATGGGGATACACCCCCAGCCCCGGGCCATTCCCCGGGGTTCTCCCCCCAGAGCCAAGTTATTGATCAGTTTCCCGGCTAAGTTCGGGCTGGAACATGCAATACCCCGCTGTGGCAGGGAGCGGGCCCCGTTTGGGGCATAAAATAAGCTTTTATTTTCCCATTTCACAGCGTCTCTCCTTCCCAGGGCTTATCCCTGTCCGAAACCCTGGTGTAAATTGTGTGTTGCATCAATTAGAGGGGCTCGCACGGTTGCTGCAATGTGTACTGTTTTCTTGGTGGAGGATTTAAGTCCTGAAATAGGTGGCTTGTTGTTGTTGTACCCTCGAAGGGGTTAAAATTTATCGTGTTGTTCCAGGTGAATTTAATCTTTCATCACCGAATTTCCTTTTAAGGCAGCTTGACAGAATAAAAGTCTCTTCCTCGCTTGTCTTTATCCCCAGAACAGCAAAACTTTGTCTGTGCTTTATGGCAGGGGCTGGTTGCTGCAGATGACACGTGAGTCTGGAGGAAAGTTTGGTTTGTAGGTCGCTGTGTAGGAAAGTGAAGTTTGCTGGTGAAGTTTTTACTACTCTCCAGTGTGCTCGACTTCCTCGTTTTCCTGTCTGTGTAAATCAAATTCCTAACTGATTTATGGGGGAGGGGATCACAAAACATATTCCTTCCTTATTGTTAAGGCATGGGAGGCATGATCAGGAGAGCCAGGTCTTTGTTGCATACAAAAAAAAGAGTGTTGTGGGCTGGTCTGACTCGCTTTGCTGTCCTTTCCTGCTGAAATAAATGTCTGAGCACGTTGTGTGCATTAACAAGGTTCTTTGCTGTTGGTGGTCTCTACCCCTTTGGGTGTTGTGACCTGTGCTCCTTTAGCAGCGAGGGCACCACATGCAAAGTTGGTGTTTGGGGTTTGGTTGTACCTGGGCTTTGGGGCAGTTCAGTGCCCTCACCTTGCTCTGACTGACCCAAAGGCTTGTCCATGTGAGGCTCACGTGTGGTCTGGGGCCTTCCTTTGGACGCGTGTGTTAACGGGCTTTTCGGGATACATTCCAGATGAGGACTGGTCTGCAAGCTCCTGTCTGTGTCCTTAAATTTAAGTGAGTTGGTATGCGTTTATGGGTGAGCTGTGGAGGGTTTTTTGCCCTTGTTCATTGAAAAAAGGTGCTGGTGATGGTGCTTAAGGCGCAGGTGGTGTAATTGATCGAAACAAACTTTCTGTGGCTTTCGCTAGTGTGTTTTTTTCCTTTGCTTTTGTTTAAGGTCTAATGGAATGGTAACATTTTGTATTATTTACTAAGGCCACCTGAGCTGGTACACTGTCTCTGTCTTAAGTTTTCTTGGGGGAAGTTGGATTTTTCTCCATGAGAACTCTTTTTTTCTGGTAGTGTGTCTTGGGAGCGTGGTGGCCTGCCTCCCAAACTGTTACTGTGAACACCTGGAGAACACTTAGCCCTCATTCCTCGAGGAAAGGAGAAGGAAATGTAATTTAAATGTATGAAAGGGGTTGGGGTTTGGCTTTTGAGCTTTATAATTTATTTTTAAGACTGTGCAAGAATGTGTAGTTTTTGTTTGTTTGAACGTGCACAGCCATAACGCAATAAAATATAAAGAACGCAATAATTACAGAAGATTCTGTTGCTTAAGCTTTTTTCCCCCCTTCAAACAGGTAGTTAAGATTTTTTTTTCCTGTGAGTTTCTTTTTAATATGAATACTTCTTTCAGTTTTACTCTATATATGGTAATTATTGATGTTTGTGTAATGCTTTGAAGTTGTAAGGCAGGGTATAAGCGCTAAGTACCCAACAGCAATACTTCATAGTCATTTTCCCATCATGAAAGAGTTTGATGCTAAAAAGTGCTACAGCCCTAAGCATAAAGAGGCTCTGGATGGATTAGGGGAAATGGCCAAAATTGCTGATAATGTTGTTTTCAGATAATAGTTTTAAGTTAGGAAAAACAGATCTGAGTAATGTAAAGCAAACTGAGTTATTTTACCTAACTTCATTTTGGTCTGGAATTTAATAGAATGTGGACTTCACATTTGAGTCAGAATGTGTTTGCTGTTACAAGTTTTGTAGTGGCAGTAAAGACCCACATCCTACAAGGATGTAATCGTGCAGAAGTCAGGAAGTCCTGTAAAACACATGGCTTTGTGAACATCAGCGGTCTCGTTCAGCTGAGTGAGCTCTGCAGCTGTCTGTGAAGCTGCTTCCAGAAGTTGGGAGTATTTTGCGTTAGTGGGCAGTAGGATGTGAATCTTTCATTACCCTGATGCTGTTTCAGTACAACAGCACTGTAAAGTGTTTTGGGAAGGCTGAGGTAGTGGCAGGTGGGACATCTTTTCATCACTAATTCCTCTGCTCATTAGGAGTCCCAAGTGATAGTCACTCCTCCAGTTTTAGCTTGCTTTGCCTGTCTCTCCTGTCCCCCGGTCCCACAGTCGCTGAGGATCGTGGTGCCCGTGTGAATTCTGACACCTTGCTGGTGAGGAAGACAGACACCAACCTCCCGCCACTCCTCCCCTCCCAACTGGGATAGCATGGTAGTAAAGTGGTCTGGTCTGTGCTTTGGAGAGGGCAAAGACAGGGTGTGCTGCAGCTCGGTGTTGTGTCGGTACTGAAATATTGTGATTCTGAGATGTATCGTACCCAGGTGTGATTCATTCATAATCTAATTCACATTGTTCATGTTGAGCAGTGTGTACTGGTCTGCGTGCTGACCATCCTCACTGCGTGTGTGTTTGCACATGTGTGCACCCAGAGTTCAGGCTGTAATAATGACTGTATTTAATGCCCTAAACATCAGCTCATGCAAGTAGCTGCAGGTTGGGAGAGAAGTGAAAGTGTGTGTGTGTGTGTGCACACTCTGTAATTATGCGTGTTTGGCTCCTGAAAAAAGTAACTGCTCTGAGAATGTACTCATTGCATGTTCATTTTTAAATACAAATTTAAGTGTTTGTGTTAGGTGAAGAAGTGTCAGTAGCTTTCCATTAGAAACTATGATTGACAGCTCTTCTCTCTTTTTTGAGTTGTATTGCTGCATTAATGTAGTAGCTTCAAATTAACAGGTGATGAAGAAACCATTTCAATATTCCTGCTATTGATTTAGCTACCCCTGTCCCAAATGTGCTCAGTTTTTAAGTGATGAAGTTAGATGGTCTTAATTTCTGTGAAGTCACTTAATGACGAGTGACTATTAGAAGGTTCAACCAGTGATCCTGAGCAGAGTAGATGGAAACAGCTTTATTCATTTTGTAATTGGTTTCTTCCAAGATAAAGTGTGACAATGGAATGAGGAATAAGGAGTATCTTTTGATATGAAATTGTAGGGGAATATATTGACTTTCCTTTAATTTTGCAAAATTAAATTAGCTAACTGGAGGTAAGAATCAGTGAAAATGAGGCAGCATAGCTGTCACTTTGGGAGAGTTGATTGCTAGAGTGAAAAGGTTTGGAAGTCTGGTCTGGAAATTGCCAATTTGTATGAAAACTGACAAACTACTTAGGGTTCCGTCTTGTGGTATCTAATCCAAGATGAGAAGGCCCTTTTGTTCCTTCCCATAATGAAAATAAGGCTGAACTTGTTTAGACAAAATGCCCTAGAGTCTTAGCGGCCTTGTTTGGGCTCAGGTTAAGTGTTCCTTTGGTTCTGAAGGATCTACAGAACCGTAACTCAGCTTACACTCTGAAACCTTTAACACCTTACCACTTGCCTTTCTGTGACATCCTTTTGACTTAACTTTTTATGTTGATAAGGAACATTAAAAATAATTCTGCCTTGATAAGAAGTAAGTGGTCATTCCAAGCTGGAGGTTGTGTAAATGTAGGGGAAAATGCACACACTGGTTGGGTGTGTAGGATTTTGCTGGCTTGGCTAGTCAAGGAGTGAAATTGTTGGTGTTGCAGCTCACCCCTGCTCGCTTGTTTCTCAGATGGGCTGATTGCAGGGAAAACTTTTGAGTGTATTTCCTTACCTGCAGAAATAGTAACCAGAAAGTCTGGTGAATTGGTGTAGCTTTCTGAAGAACTGACTGAAAGAAGCTCCAAAGTGATGAGGGGGGAGCGTTACTGCATTGTCTTGGCCAATATATGCAACATCTTTCAAAGAGTCTCCTTTTACTTGGAATGTAATTGTGTGTGGCCAAACTCAGTGCTAAGTGGAGATGGTGAGGTCCTTTGGAATATGTTATCTGGAATGCCAGGTATGCTATCAGCCTAACACGCCATTTTTGGAGGATGAATAATGCAGGCGGATTGGATGTCAACCGGGCTGTGTGGTTCAGTCCCTGCCCATGGCCCTTCCTGGTGTTCCATGTATCCTGCTTGTCTCCAGGAGCTGGAGGTGTGGTGGCAGTAGGGATCTGGTCCTTGAATTTGTGCTTTAGTTGTGCTTGGTGCAAGCATGACTCTTCTTAAGAAGAGTTTAAGCTGGCATCTGTAAGTAAGACATTAATAGTCTTATTTTCAAAGATGCTGAGTCTCTGCAGTTGAATGTGAAGTTGGCAGTCTCTGTGTATGCTTAGCATTTCTAAAAATCAACTCTTGTGTGTGATTTGCCGGCTCTTGCAAACTCCCGTGAGGGTGTAGTTCCTGTTCCTGGGAGCAGTATTAGTAAAAGGCTATGTTGTGTGCTCTGACTTGTGTTTATTGTTGTAATTCTGAAGTCTCCATGTTGCAGAGGAGCAATCTTGCTTACTAGTAATGTCTAGCAGTAAAAAATCAGAATCATCCAGAGAAAACAGTTTGTGGGTTTTTTTGTTTTATGATCTGAGGCTGTGTTCAATCTCTGTTCAATGTCAGTGTGTTACAGAACACTCTCTACAGCCGTGTGCCATATGCAGACACGCTGGGTGTCATTTCGGATCGCTGGAGGTGCGTTGCTGGAAGTTTTAGCTGGTTGGGGTGTGAGTAGCAGACCTTCCCTTCCCCTTCAGTGGGGCAGTAGTTTTGGCAGCCTGGCAAGGCAGGTGAGCGGCTGTCCCTGCAGTAATGCTGGTGATCTTTTTAACCCATTGTGGGTTTGGGGAATGATTCAGTCGCTTCTCTGGCTGCACGCAGAGCTCCCTCTCACCCGCTGACGTCAGGCCGATGGTAGATTTATGAATTGGGACTGTGGAAGTGGAAGCTTTGCTCTGTGCACAGGTATGTGCTTGTTGGTAGTGACCAGACAGCTGCAGAAAAGATCTCTGTGTTACCTATTCCTGGATCATATTTCCAAGGTTATGAGTTAAGGGTCAAATATTTACTGTTTGTGAAAATGAAATGCTAAATACTGTGCCCAGTGCCAAAACCACAGAAATTGTCAACGTGTAGAATCCTAAATAGAACCAGTCCTAAAAGTTGCATCCAGTTGACATTAAGAGTGTTAAAAGTTCAGGCTCTACACATGAGTGACCTATCACCAACAAACTGAGTGGGGAATTACAGATGGCGAGCACACATGAGGCGGCTTCCAGTCCCCTGATGGTTCCCTAAAAGTACCAGGCAAAGAGGAGAGTTTGATTTCCTGGAATAGGTTGCCCAGGCTGGCTAAGGAGTGGAATAACAAGTTTCATAGCTCTTTAGTGGTTTTTGGACAGACTGATTCATGCTCAAGTGTCAGCATGACTTCTGAAAATACAAATTTGCTTTGTAAAAATAGTCTTAAAAATACGTCATTATTTTTCATTTATTATTGATATTGGTCTAACTTACAGTCCTCTTGGACAAATGAGCATTTTTGCCATTAATTTCAGCAATTAAGAGAGGAGCTTACCTTAAAATACTGATTGATCTTAAGAGAGATGAGTCTGACCCTCCCCCCTGCTTCCTGGTTTCTCTAGCTCACAGTAAGCATGAGAACTTTTCCTCTTTTAGGTTATGTCTAAATTTGTGGGGAAAAAATAGTTTTGATATTGCATAGACCTATGGGGGAAATAACAAGAGATCTGGGTCAAAAAAGTAGGACGTGCAAGATTTAGAAGCTGTTGAAGTGTATTTATTTGTCCTATATTAGGTTAAAGGAAGTATTGGTGCTCTCAGTTTGGCAACGTGTCCTTCAGTCTGCGGTGTGCTGTAAAGGGAAGACAACTGTTAAACAATGAATCACCACTAATTTTTGTATGGATGTCCACATTCTTCTCTCGTGCAGAAATTCCTGCTTGTGTATCAACACAAACACACTTTCCTAAACACAGACTCTTGGAGATAAATTTTAATTGGGAAGTGCTTTGTAAAAATACAGTTTTTTGCCATGATGATGTTTGTGATTCTGTAATGTGTTGACTTTGGGGTTGCATTTCTTCAGATTTTATACTTTTTAGTGCACTTATAAAGCAAAGTTAGCATGAATGTGTATGGAGGAAAATGAGGGATGGTGTTGTCAAACTGTCTATTAATGCTGACATCAAATTGTGCTAGAAACCTATCTTGTGTAGCAATGGATTAGCTGTTTCCCATTGCTAGTGCAACAAATCTGGGGTTTATAGAAGTGGGGTCTATATTTTCAGAACAACATGAATGTTTTCCTGATGCCGACATGGTACCTGATTTTTCCACTTCATTTTGAATGCACAACTAAATTTCACAATCTGGTGTCTTGTTTAGACTGTAAGTATCTAGCATTGTGGGCATAAAAAAAATCAGCAATATGAAACTTCAATATGTTGAGTTGTGACAAAACTTGAACACAAACACAATGAAACAACCTGCTAAGCAGTTTTGGTGAGCTTGGTCTGATAGCAGGAAAGGATATCTAAATGTAGCTAATTAATAGAAACTGACTTATTTTTCTTGTTGTTTTTTTTTTTTTTCTAACAACTTTTGGCTTTATAGTAAATACTTGTCACAGTTGTTTGAGTTGTAAGAAAAATGCTTTGTATTTCTGTGAATGTCTTCCAGGGCAGATTGTGAATGGCCTTTGATTACATTAGAAATATCAATGTTATCTTGCTGTTGGCAAAATCCACGTTAGTTGGTTCTTGTGCTGTCTACACGTGCAAGGTTATTTTGATATGGATTAGTTATTCCTAGTTCATCAAGGTCCTTTGTAAGATTCTTTCTTACAGTACATAAAATAAAACTTAATTTTTAATGTATTTAGTGTGTAAGAGTCTCTTCTATTAAAATAAAACAAAAAGCCCTCTTGACCTCTGGGTCATCCCGTTGAGGTGCACCACAGCCCTCCCCAGGTGTATTATTTTCTGGTAAGATGGGAATTGTTTTTGTCTTAAGAAATGAACCCTCTCTCTGTGTGGTTCTGTGGGCCAGTTGTGAAAGCACCAAATTCAATTTTCCCATCAGTCTGCTGTTGTCCCAGTGCCTGGAGACAGCTGGGGTCCTATGTTAGAGAGGTACTCACTGCTTGCATGTACTGGGGACTTCTAGAGATCCTGTGTGTCGACAGAAATGGTGGGAAGAATTAAAAAAAAAAAATACACAAAAGATAAAGGGATGGAAACTTTCAGAGGTAGCCAGGGAAAACACTCTCGATGTGTTTTGACTCGCTCTTTGACGCTACGGGTGACTTCATACGCGAGGCTCGGAGGGTATGTGAAATGCAGTGTCAGACTCCGGCTAGGAGAGCGTCCCTTACGTAGGCTGAGATTTGTCTGTTGTGCCGGCAGCAAGGCTTGTGTGTGTTGGACACTGCTGCAGAGCTCCAGAAAGCTCCACTGATGGTGTTAGAATATGTGAAATTTCATTTGCGTGCTTAATGTGCCTCCCGCTTTCCCAGCTGTGGCCTGTAACTACCTGCTTGCGGAACGGAGTTTTTCAAGGTGAAATGAAAGAAATGCACAGGTTTTAAAAACACATTCAGAGATCAGGTTAGTCAGATTTCATTTGTGTTAATGTTGCTGTAAATGGTGAAAGTTTGGAACTGCAATGTACTTCCGTGTGCCTGTTGCTGCCTACTTGTATTTGTTAATCTGGTGCTGCTGGACCTACTGCTGTTCTGTGTAATTAAAATAACCCCCCAAGCCTCCCCCCGTGTGATAAAAAGACAAGTGGTGCAAGATTATGCTGCTTTTTTCTTTCTGAATTAACCCCTTCCAAGTGTCAGGGTGGCTCTGCCTTCTCCTCTTGGCTCCCTTGTCCCGCTGTAGAGGGAAAGTGGCAAATAAGTGTAGTGAACTGGAGTGTTTTGTGTCCACCCTGACAGTTTGCACCGTTTTATTCTTCCTGTGGCTTTATTTGATTTTTCTAATCATTCCCCACCTATTTTTTTTTTTTTTTGTCCTGGGCTTTCTCTCCTTTTTGTTATTTTGGACTTTTGCTTTCTTCCCGTCCGTTCTCTTGTCAGTCCTTTAAATCCAATTGATGCCTTTTTGTTTCTGTTCTCTGGATTTTCTCTGCTTTCTTCCTCTTTCTCAAAATGTTAGTTAAGTTGATGTGCAGGACTCGGTCCTGGGTAGCCCTCTTGGGCTGGAGGGGTTGAATGGGTTTGGATGATGCAGCCTGAGTCAGTGGTGGAGCAGAACCTGCTGGGCTGCTGGGGAAGTCTCATTTTCCTGTGTGTGCCCCTGGCAGCGAGCAGGAGGTGAGCGAGGGGCCTGCCTGCGGGCACATGGGTGCTTGGGATGGGCACACAGGGCAGGAAATGCGGAGGACAAATTTTGGCAGTGCTTTTACACGATAAAAATAATCTTGGCTCTAGGCATATAGCATTGATCCAACTCTTGTTGAAGTCGGAGGCTTTGGAGGGAGTTGGTGTGAGCATTTAGTAAAGACACAAAAAGCTGAGGAGTTTGGAGTGAAAACCTCGGCGCAAGGTGGGGTTGGCTTTGGGCTTTTCAAAATAAGGGGTTTTATGCAAGAAGTTTTTATTGACAGTGTGACTTAAAATTAGTGAAAACAAAGTCGGTCATCGTGAAATCAGTGGCAGCCTTATCTTATTGTTTTTATTGTGGGTAGTGTTGACAAGTCACATGCCCCATTGTTCTGGGTGAACAAACAGGGCTTTGAGGCTGCAAGCTGGGACTTGCGCACAGGCGCCTTTGTCCTGTGTGGAACTGCGACTTCAGAGTTGAGATATTTGTCTTTAAAGAGTTCACATCCAGAAACTGCATGATAAAATACTCTCTTGCTTGATATCTAAGCACCGTTTTTGTTTCATGTCCTGTGGTCCAGGACCTGAGAAAATAAACACAGGTGCCTACCTCATTGCCCAGTGAAACCTATGGGTAGCAGGCTTGTGTTCAGGCTCCAAAGTGGATGTGCTTGGGACAGAGAGAATGCAGAATGTGCTTTTGAGAAAGTCAGTAAAAGATTTTTGCTTGAAAGTCTTCCAGGTGTAAGTGCTTTACCACAAAGCTGGTGACACTTGAGACAATAATAGTGAACCTTATCTCTACTGAAGTTATAGTTTTGTGGATCACCTCTAAATTACTCATGCAGTTTATAAATCCCTATAATCAGGGTATGTGTAGTGTAACTAAGATGGATGCAGTAGAAACTGGCTGCAGGAGCAGACTTGGCACGTGTAGGCTGTGGATGTAGTCATCCAGCCGGATCTGGGGGAGAATTCCATTGAAATTGCTGTGAGTTTTGCTTAAGGAAGAGCAGAAAGATAAGTCTTCCCTGCCTACAGTGATTTTTATTATGTTGTTGTTTTTAGTACATCTTAACAATGCCTGTGTAGCTCATTGTCTCGTTCAGTATTTTTGATTTGTAGAATAAATGTGGTTGTGGTTTGGTTGATTTTTTGTTTGTTTGTTCATTTTGTTGTCTTTATTTATTTTTTTTTTAATCAGCTTATAGTCTTGTTTTTTCTTCTTTGGAAACTGGTCCTAGCAGTGTGTTTTATACCTATTTATATCTATACAGGACTATTCACCAAAATGATCTTGAATTGTCAGGGCTCCACAGTAGGTATTACCAAGTAACTTTCATATATAATGGCACGGAAGGTGGTAGAAACTTTCAAGCTGGTAGAAATTCTTGTAGCAATCTCGACTGCGTGTAGACAGTGTCAGCTGTGTGTCCATCTGCTCTCTGGTATTAGAAAACTTCCCCAGTTTGGGTGGCTTGCAGGCAGCCTGTAAAATACTGCTTTAATTTTGGTGCAGAATGAATGGCAAACTTTTGGCATCCTAATGTGGGTGTAATACAGCAGTGGAATATATTGTGGGTTACTGCTCAAGGTTTTCAGACTTTTTTTTGAGCATGACTGCAGTTTGTTTACACAGCCCCTTCATAGGAACTGCTTGATAGAGGGAATTATGGAATTACTTTCTGGTTATAAATTCTCTGAATACATTTCCACAGGCCTCTCTAGCTCTGTGGCTGGTGTCAGGATTATCTGTTATTTCTGCCACTGTGTGACCTTAGCAAATGGATTAACAAATTTGCCCATGCACCAGTGATTTAATACTTACCAGGAGCTTTTTCAGACTAGCTCAGTTCCCTGAGATCTTCTGATGAAAGGCCATGTAGCAGTGTAAAAGTGGCTTTTGTTTAATTTCCCAGTTTCTGGTTACTTGGAGTTTTCAGTTTAAGCAAGAGCTCCGCTTTTATTTATGGCTTTTGTGTGTGTCTTTCAGTTTTCCATTGGACAGAATGTGGTCCTTCACATTGGAAATACTTTCTACTAGTGCCAGGACATGTTGGAATTGGGCTGCTTGGTTCATAAAGTTAGTCATGTTATGTCCTTAGTAATGTGGAAATGCAACCTTACATGAAGTTTTGAGATACCTGCACTTTATCTGGACCTTGGCAGTGTTTTGGGAGTGAGGAAAGGCGGGACTTTCTTGGTGGTGCCACTTCAGGAATGGGTTTTGGAGAACAGCTACACAAGCAGCCCCTTGTCCCAGCACTGGGAGTGGTGGGACACTTGAGCTGTTCTTGATGGAGCACAGGCACAAAAACGTTTGTCCTCTAGTGTGGTATATTGAGTCATCTGCCATGCTGAGGCAGATTTATGGGTCCTAAAAACATCATCTCTGGAAGGATGTGTTAGACCCAACAGCTCTTTTGGTGGGGGTAGGGGATTAAAGTCCAGGCAGTTTTGCTGCCTGGCTCCACAAACACCGGCATTGCTGCTATGAAGGCTGTGACTGACCCATTGGAGTGAGCCCAGGTTAGGTAAGGGTGGGCTGTGAACTTGTTATCTCAGCTCTGCTATCAGGCAGAAACTTCAGAGAGTGCAGTGGGCCAGCTGATAGCTCAGCCAGTCTGTACACACAGGCTTGTGCTGACTGCTTGGGCTCACCCATACATAAAATAGACATAAATCTTTCTCATGTGCGTAGAATATCATTTGGGTGAGTCTTCCTTTATAACTTCCTAAATGATTCTTGTTTATAAGTTTAACTATAAACTAATTTACAAGCTTTTGTGAAATCTTTTTTTATGCCCTTTTCTGAGAGCCAGTGGAGTTTTCCTGGTCTGAAGACATTGATTTCTGGTGAATGTTTTCCTTGTTGGTATAGGTGTCTCCTAAAGCACATCTTGGTCCTGGCTGTCACAGCTGTGTTTGTGATGCTGATGAGCAGACATTTGCTGTTAAATTATCTTATTTTCATAGGTTGTTTGGACATTTTTCCTCTGCTGAAAAAATTAAAATTTAGGAAGTGTTTTAATTCTGGGGTGTCTCTTCACTTTGGAAGTAGTACTTAAAGTTGTATACGTTTGGGTTTTGCTATTATAAATTGTCCTTCTGTATGGTGACTTTTCTCATTTTCACCATACTCTGCCCTGAGAAGTATCTCTGGTTAATTTGAAAAGAAAGTCCTGCTAGTACTTTAATAAATACCTTAAACTTTGCAAAAATGTATTTACACTTACTGGCAGCATGGGTTGAAGTTAAAAGTGGAATTTACAGTATGCTCACATTTTTTTTGGAATGACTCCAGGAAGAAAGTGTCTCATTCCTGTTTAGTGTAATATATATCTATATATCAGCTGATATAGCTGTTGGTGTAGTCAAGCCCTAATTGTTTAAAAAAATATCACTTAAGTGTGATTCTTTGGTATATTTAGAAGAGCTGAGTAAAGCCCTTTCTTGGTTGAACCATTTTCTTGTGATCTGAGGCAGTTTACATGTTCTTCCTAAGAAATACATTATCGCTCCACTGAAGTCAGTTCAGGTTCTCTGGAAGTAATCCAACCTTCAGGAAAGAAAAATATTAGTGTGCATGTTGAGGGAAAGGGTTTCCCTTTATTTCAGAATTTGCTTGTCATGTGTAGCAAATAAGCCATTTTCAGACGCATTAAGGCTCTGTGAAACTAATTTTCAGCGCTGACAGTTTTCTAGTCCTGGGTTAAGCAGAAAGATTCAAATTTAATGTTTCAAATTTTTTTGTTTGTTTGTTTTAAATAGGAAGGGACATGTATATTTACTCAGTTATAATTTGGGTGCTCTGCATGTTTCAGGATAACAGAAAAATGAAACGTTTGAAATACTGAGGATGATGGTGATTTTTTAGCCAGTCATTTATTTCGGTGTCTGAAACGTTTTGTAGCCAATTTAGATGTTGGAATTTACGGAAGTAACCTTTGCTTGGAAGCCTGAAATGTTTGCAATGTGTTGTTTATTTGGTTTATGAAGTTTTGTGCCATTTGAACGCTGGTTTTTGTTTTAGCAATGAGTTTTGGCAGAGCACATTCTAGCATATGTAGTCAGTCATAAACAAACTAGAGACCACTAACGCTTTTGTCCTGTGGCTGTATCAAAGCACGTGAGGTTGAATTAAAACTGACTTGGCTTCTTTGGGCCTGTGCTCCACTGAGACCTTCAGGATGCTCATGTTAAAATTCCGTGCCTTCTGTCATTAAAGCAGTCACTCTCTTTAAGTTTTTGCGACTTTGATCTTTCAGTCGAGGAGGGGTTTTCAGGTTTCCAGGCTCGGTTTGTGGCTGAAGACCAGCGCCGCGCACGCAGGCCTGCCTGGGTTGGGCGCCTGCTCTCCAAAGCGAGTGGCGCTCCAGTGATTTCTGCCGGATTTAATTCGCTTCCCGCGGGAGGGCAGGGATTTGGCAGAAGCCTGCCCTTCGGTAGCTCTGAGCTCTTGCAAGTTACGCAAGCCGGGCCATTTAAGCGGGCTGTGAAGGCCGCGGCCGGGCCGCACAAGGCGGGTGAGGTGCTGTGGAGAGGAGCCCCCAGACCAAGGGCTGTGCTCTGGAGGCTGCCGAGGAGCCGGGGCGGCGTGCCCGGCTGAGGCTGGCACCCCACGGCAGGACGGTCGGGATGGCCTCTGGACGGGCTCAACAGGACAGGATGGAGCCTTTTCCTCTCACAGGGGTTAAATAGGGTTCCTTCTCCAGCAACCTGCCACCCCGCCCTGTGACCTGCCCTTCATTCTGTCCGCAGATTTAGCCACCAAACCCATGGCATGCTTCCTACACCTGGGCAAAGCACTTCTTTCGGTGTTGCTTCAGAACCAAATGCTGTCTTCACCTCCCTGTCATTGCAATTGTAGAGCTACAGTTTAGAAATTATAATTTTTTTTAAATATTTGTACATATTTCAGTCTATTTTCCTAAATAATTTATGTAGACTTTTAATACCTTAATGACTCAAAACCTCAGCTCGTTTTGTTTGGAGGTGTTTCTTCCTCAGGCAGAAGTCAGACCTGAAATGCTTTATTTCTAAAGTTTGTGAAGAAAAAGCTCTCTGGTAGCATTTCTGAATTGTTGAGATTAGCTCTGAATTTCCAGATAATGTAATTTTCTTTTTTAAAAGAGGTCCCCTCCCCCCTCCCCGGCAAGCCCTGAAGTATTCTTTGTGTGAATGTACTATATGATCTCTAATTATATGATCACATACCATTCCACAAATAGTGCAATACAATAGCATAGAATTATTTCTAGGATCTGGTAGAGGTCTATTCACTAGACTACCTTAAACCCTGAGCCTGCAAGTTGTTTTGTGTAAATTGACTCCTTTGCCTCCCAGAAGCCCTGTTTACTGTAGCTCTGCCATAAGCCCAGGTTCAAAGCTTGTTATGGAATCAGGGTTTGGGATGTCAGCCCTGAAAGTTGCCATTTAACTGCTCTTATACAGCACATGCATGTTAAGTAGGCTAGCAGAATAACAGTGAAATTGCTCACCTAGGTCTGCAGATGAATTACCATAATTAACTGCTTCTTCCCATGAATTGCACCTAACAAGGGCTGTGCTGTTGGCTGAAAATAAATTGCATAATGCATTGCTGTTGACTAAATTATTTACGTACCTCAGAGAGGAGATGGTATAAAAAGGCTGCAGAACGAGTGCTGGACCATTATGAAAAAGAAATGGGGGAAGGGAATCACAGCTAGAACGTGGTGTAGCCTTCTCCTGGGTCACCAAGGAGCTCTGTGTCCTGTTTGCAACACACTGTGTGCCTCCATGGTTACATATTTATCACATTGCATTGCATAATGTATGTGTGGAGAAAGCAGAGTTAGATCTGTGCACACAGCCTTGGGCCTGCTCTTAAAAAGAGTGTGGCTGTGTAGTTATAAATTGCTAAAAATGGCTTTTTTTTTTTTTTCTCTCCCCCTGTGTAACTGGTCCCAAAATATCTGAAGTCAAAAGCAGAATATGGCTTAAAAAAAATCAGTTATAAACCAAACTGGACAATTTTTGAAATGCTTGCTGTTCTGTGTTTATCCATGAAGTGTCCTTTGTGTGCCTGTTGTGAGGTGCTGAGGATTAAGCTATATCCATTATGTGTTTTTCTTAACTTCTTATTTAGCCAAGAACTGTTTTAAAAGAGCTATATTTGGATCTGCTATCCTTTTGTTGTCTTGTGGAATGCTGTGCAGCCCTATTTATTGCAATTTACTAAAAAAGATGGCTCTACTACAATAGAGATTACTTACACTAATTAACCAGAAGAGTCAGACAGTAAATACATGTGTGAGCTGCTCCATGAACACACAGTGGTAACACCAAAACAATTGCAACAACTGGACATGGGCTCTGTCAGAGGTGGTGCTTTGTGTTAGAATTTTCCAAAATAAGATGTGTCACAGCTTGTGTTTTCCATTGGTAAAAACCAATCAAAAACCAAAAAAATCTGGAACTGTAGCTCTCGATTCCTAATTTTCTGTAGGGTTTGCTTTGGTCTGGGACTTTGTTTTGGGCCTAGTCTTGACAGAGTCCTTGGCAAAACTTGAAAATACTTTTTGTTCCCTGTGCACAAGGTTGTCCATCTATTTGCCTCCATGACAGAGGTGGTGGCTCAGGATGGACAAAGGAAGCTGCAAGTGGGGTCATGGCCCTCACAGAAACTCAGTTGTTTATGTGATCACTTCTGGTTATGATCCCAGTGGAAATGTGGTTGCAGTGGGGAAAAGCTTTGTAAAAACAGCCCGGCTTAGGAAATTGGATCACAAATAATTTTTTATAAGTAGGCCAAAACATTGCGTGATAAGGTTTGTATTGAGAAGGCTCCCTCTTCTTGCCAAGTTAGCTGGAATAGGTCAGCTTTTGTGATAACAGCAACAAGGAAAACCAGTCAGTTGTTTTTAGGTTGTTTTTGGTTTTTTTTTCTTTCTTTTACCTATTAATTTTTCTTGAAAAGCTTTATTTCCTGTTTGAGAACATGTGCTTTAAGTTTGGCAAAGAAATGATCTTTGTGTCAGCAGGGGTTATTTTTGGTTTTGTTTTGTTTTGGATTTGTTTTGTTGGTTTGGGGTTGTTTTAATGTTGGTAGGGCTATTCTGTAAAACATAAATCTGACATAGGCAACCTTAGTTTTTGCATTTCTAATAGACTGTTCAGGCTGGTGAACCACTTAGAGTGGAGAAGTTGTGTTGTAGTATTAAAAAGTGATAAATGACAGGAGCCCATTAATTGGTATGCAGGCAAAATTGTAAAGATAGCAGAAAAGGCTTGGAAATAAAATACATCAATGCTACCTGACATTTGTTAGGTACCTAACAAATTATGACACAGCATTTTTAACAAACACTTTTCTGCAAAATTTCAGAATGCTTTCAAAGACTTCACATGTGGTTCCTGCACTGTACACTTCATAGTGATGAGTGATAAACACTGCTGCAAATACATCTTGTCCAAAAAAATGCCACAGAGAAAAATTTGTTTTGTCTCTGTAGGTTTTGGGGTTGTTTTTTTTTTATGTTGTGTTTTGTATTTATATTTTTAGAGAATGATCCAAATTTATTTTATGGAAACCAATGTGAGACTCCCCTAGGAAGGTTTTGAGATCTGCAGTGAGCAGAAAGGGAATCTGCTCATGGTTATTAAAGTCCTTCAGACACATGGTGACTCTTGAAATCACTGCTGAAGGATGGAGCCTTTTCTGCTGTTCTTCTGTTGTTGTTTGTCACTGAACTTTATTGTTGTTAAAACTGTTATTTAGGAGGGAGGGATGATCAGAAAGGACAGCAAAGACCTTGGAAACACCCTGCCAGAATTTGAAATCTGAACTGGGGTGTTGTAAAGGCATATTTCCTTTTAGAGGACTGAAGAGGAGACCAGGGCCATAAGAGTGTAGAGGAAGGGGAGACCAGCATTAATTCTGTTTCTTGCTCTTCCCTTTGGAGCACTGAATGCCTGAGTTCAGTGCCCTGCTCAGCAGCTTCCTTGTTCTGTCTGTTAACAATCAACTGATTTAGGGTCACAAGTGCGTTACAGGACAGGTCACCTGATGTGGCACTGCCTATTGCCTGTGGGACAGGGACCCATCAGTGTTCTGGGGTTTAATTGTGCCTTATGGTGTGCAGGCAGAACTTCAGTGAGAAAATTGTGCAGTAGGGAAGGGATATAGAGAGAGGAAAGCATGCATGGAATTACTGATGCTATGTTGTCTGGGAGGAGAAATGGTAATTTCAGAATGTGGCATAACTGTCTTGTCTGTTTGGTTTTTTGGTGTGTTGGATGAAGATTTTTGTGTGTTACAGAAAAATTTTAAGAGAAAGATCACAAAGGGAATAAATGAACAAATGTTGTGCAAAGCCTTGGGGCAGTAAGAACCTGCTGTGAAGCCACGAGTAGGGGGGTAAGGCTTCACGTTTAATGTATAATTATAGGTATGGAACAATTGTAAATTTGCAGGTGAGAAAATACTGTACTTTGCATCAGGCTTTCCAAGTCCCAGTTGAGCACGGATGGTATTTGTCTTGGCTAACATCTGTTCCTTTCTGGAGTAAGTGGCTTTAAAGGAAGGCATGAAACTTTAATATGATTTCTGGTTAGCTCAATCTATCTCTTTCTTTGTATTTTCAAAACATGCTTTATTTTATTAAATTCAAGAATACAGGTTACCTGTACAAGCTGCTGGCTCCTTACATAAATAATCATATGATAAATGCAATTAGATTGAAGTTCAGCAATATTGAAATCACTTCCATAGGAAGCTGGCTGGATGCCCAGACAGCTGACATCATCTAGGAACCACACTCTTGGTCTTGGACAAATGTCTTTGGCACAGCCCTGTGAAAGTCAGTGTGTTTGGGATCTGGGTGGAAATAAACTCAGAATGGCTGAATGTTTATGCCTGATGCCTTCCCAGGCATCTCCCTCCCCTCAGATACCTTCCTGCACACCTCTGAGGATCCCTGCTCTCAGCAGGCACAGGGAGGAGAATGCCAATCCTTAACCATTAGGAATTCTTTCATGTATAGCAACAAGTTTCCACTCAGCCTTCCAAACCCTTGTTATGCTGTAATAATGTGGGAGAAGGACTTCATTGTGGCCAACGTAATTCTTGGTAAACAGAGACGAGGAATGATGTCTCATTAAAAAATGCAGTGTGGCAATAGGAAAATCATGTTTATTACCAGTTCTAGAGTTGTATAAATAGAGATGAAGGGAGACTTTTTCAAATGTATTTTCCCAAGGAGGTAGTTATATATCAGTGTTCAGTGTTTTAGGATTTGTATCTCCTTGTGCTTGTTGAAAAGCAGGACAGACTAGACATAACAAGGAAAAGCCTTGTATCAGGCCATTAATTACACTTTTATTTAGGTGATGAGTGTGTATTGGGCATCTGCACAGCAAGTGTCATCCCAACAGTGGGGAGCTCCCTGTCTCTTTGGGATTGTTGTAGGGGGATTCCCATATTTTGGAAGGTTTTTGTCTCCTTCTCACATACCTGCAGGACTTGGCCTTGAAAGATCACTAATGCTTATAATAAAGTGGGACTTGGCATTTTCTTGATTTTTTTTTTTTTTGTTATTTGATTGGTTATGTATTTATTTATTTTAGAACAATGAATGTTTTTAAATAATTAAAGTTTTGAAAAATAATAAAAAAAACAACACCCTCTTTTTGTGCAGTGTAGTTCTTAGCTGCTATGGAGCAGAATCATAGTTTAGATTTAAATCCAAAAGTAAACGAGTAATTTATTGCCTGTTAAACATGAGCAAATAAAATCCCAGTATATTAAAGAATGTTTTGAATCTATTTCCCTGGGAAACGTAGACAAGAATCTCTCAAAAGTGGTCACTAGTGGCCTAAACGAGGTAATTGTGTTTGCTGTGTGACAAGTGTGTGTTCTTGCAGGATCACTGGTTTTACCTAGTGGAGCAAGAATAAATAATAGAAGGTGCAAGTGCCACAAAATGTAGTTCCACAAATATACGCCAATATTTCTCTTTATTACAACAAACTTGGTTGAAATAAGGAGAAACTTCAAAATTGCATCAGGTGTATTTCAGACTGGTTTAATAGAATTCTTATGTTTCATTTTGTTGTTTGGCTTTGGGGTTTTTTAATACTCCAAGGTAGACTGCTGGATGTTTTCCTTCTGTATTTATGTACTGAAATTTGTGAGTTAGTCAGCTGACCACCACCACCTCTCATCTCATGAATATGTATTCCGATTTTCTTTTGTTTAACAAAAAAAACTGTAAAATAATGCTGTGCTGTTTTCCACTCAAACCCCTCCTTATTCCCTGGTTTTGATGGTAGTAATGTTACCTCAAGACCTGTCCCCTCCCTTTCCAGGGTTGGCTTTCCTCAATAAAAACCCATTCTTCATCCATTCCCAATTTAGCAACCAGTTCCCCAAACCCATTCAACTTTATCCAAGTCTGATGCCAAACTGAATTGTCTGTGGTGTGGAGCATCCACCAATTTCTATGTTCTGACCATAGTGTTAGTATGAGGATTTTCTTTAAGGTTATTGTTAGAAATTTTATAACAAAAATCAACTGTGAACAGCTCTAGAAGAGCACGGCAAGGCTTTTTTTTTTTAAAACTCTAAATCTTTTTAGTTTTTTTTAAACTCCAAAGCTTGACCTTTGTTTTTGTTTTTTTTTTTTTTTAAATAGATTTGTACAGTGTGTGTTTTG